TTTGAGTTCTCATATAAAAAAGAATAAAACATTTTTCTATTTAGGCGAGGAGACATAGGTAGTTTATTAACTCAAGCGGGATTTGTGATGCTTACAATAGATACTGATGAAATTATTGTTGGATATCCTACAATGTTTGAGCTTCTCAATGATTTGAAAGGTATCATAATTGTTCAATTTGTTTTTGATTACAATATTTATTATTCATTAATTACTTTTGTAGGTATGGCAGAAAATAATGCTGCTTGGAATAGGCCCTTGCATCTTCACAGAGATACACTTCTAGCAGCATCTTCTATTTATAAAGAAATGTATGGAAAGGTAGGAACAACTTCATTTGGAAAACATATTTTTTACACAAAGCTTGTAGTTTTAGTCTAGTAAATATTTCTAAACGTCGCCCAACGCAATGTTTTTGTATGTCAAATATAATAATTATTTTGTTTCCCTATTTCTCGAGTCTGAATAAAAAACAAATGCAGACTCCTTTCATCGAATAACATATAATATATAATTTAATTTTTACATTTAATAATGCTAATCTCATATATTATAAAAATAATTTTAACATAATCAGCTTCTATAGAAATCAATTGATTAATTTGAATTCCAATTTGTTTATTACTTTTATTCATATTATACATGTTACGTCTACTAGGAAAATGGAGTGCCAGCAACATTTCAAATAGTATATTTAGTTGGTTGGAAACCTTCACCTGATCAACCACAACCTCTTCCTAGAGGATCAGCTACAGAATCATTCAAAAACTTAGGAAAAATAAGTCACAAAATGGCAAAATCTTAAACACACTATCAAGTGCTTAAATCGAAAGTTAAGTTTTTAAATCAAATGTTTGTATATATATATATATATATATATATATATATATATATATAAATTAATATAATAATAATAAATAATAGTAAAATATATAAATGCATGTGTACATATGTATATACTTATAGAAATTTATAGAAATAAAAGGCACTTTTACCAGCATTAGCAATCAAAAATTCAATTCTGTACAAGTAATTAACATATTTTCAATAGATTGCTGGCATTTATTTATTTGCAACTTAATTTTTTTGAAATTATATTAATGTCATATGGTTAATATAGTAATCAAAACCAAATAAAATTATAATTAAAATTATATTATAAAATTATTTGAGTCTTTGATAACTGTATAAATTATTATAATAGGTAATTGTAATTGTAATTATAAGTTTAATGGCATATAATTTATATTATTTTCAGCTTGTTTTAAGTATAAAATTAAAACCAAATTTTTATTAATGAGCTAAAATAATTTCATAAAGCAATTTAACTGAAGAATTTTATATTTTCAAGCAAATTTATATACTTTGAACAATATACTCGTATAACAATACTTTATACTTTATTTCCTTATCCATGACTTTATATTTCGATAATAGAATATTTTCGCAAAGATTAAATTTTCTGTTTGAATTTCGCGCTTTGGGTCAGCTGTCATTTTGCTAACTTAAGTCATTTCAATTGTCAAAAAGAGATTTTCGTGAATGAATATCGATCGCGTTAATTAAGAGTTTTTAATTATATCCTTGATTAGTTTTAATTAAGTTGTGCATCAAATTGTTTAATTAAATTGTAGATCATATGATATAAAAATATATCATGCAACGTTTGTAAAAAGCTGAAAAATTGATATGTGTGGAAGTGTACCTTGAATTGTCATAATTATCTCTTTCAGGAACCCCATTTTGAAACAATATTATAATTAATCATTTTATTTGCAGTGTTAATGTATCCTTTATCTATATATATATATGCAATTAGCAAATGTATATTTCATATATGAATATGTAGGTTATGACGGTGCATTTCCACATCATATCAGTCTATTCAATTTTGAGTTCTTTACTTAGACAATTGTAAAATTTCGAATACACTTGTAAAAGACAAAGTTATGTAGTGGTTTTAAAGAAGTGATTTTGCGGCAATTACTTGAGATTTCTGGCAGATGCTCCAAAGGTGATTCATTTATTAGTTTTGTGTTCTGCTAGCTTCTGCAGAGGATTACTAACAATGTAAGTGCAGAGCATGTTTTATACAATGCGAGTCAAAGAATATATTTCTGATATTATATTCAGGCATTTATCGTAATACATCTAATGCACCTGTATTGAAATTTGAAAATCTTTGATGTTTGATGCAATATTGTTTGCCATCTTCTGTGAAACTATAATTTGAATAGAAATAAATAATAAGATATTACTTATAACTTATAACTTATTTTTCAAAAAAGGTTTACTATTACTGACCGGATTTGTATTACATGCTACTTTTGTATGGAAAAATTAATTGGAAGATGCTCTGAGAACTTGTCCCTTTCTTATCTGATATCATTTATATATATAAAATATAATAAATTAAAGCAGCCTGGGTATATTTTACTGAAATATTTCATGGCTCGTGAATTATTATTATTATACATACATATATATCTGCTGAAAATATTGTTTATATTTGAGTTAATATCATTTTATTAATAAGGTACACAATTTTTTTTTTTTTTCCAAAGCATAGAATACAATTCATCTTTTGTTTATTCAACGACTACTATACAAATAAAAAAATTTAAATTAATTTGGCAGACATGTGTAAAAGTCTATGTTCTTATTTAATTTGTTTTGGGGGAAACATCTTGATTCAATTTTTGTATCTATTTACACAAATGCAAATCATGTTTTCAATCAATATGAAGGAAAAGTTTGTTCTTCTCGATGACATTGAAAATAATGTTTATTATTACAATTCCATAAACCGTCAATCAAAAGTGTTTATAAATGATACTATGACACTGATTTTGTGTGGAATTCAGAATTCTTAAATTAAAACAAAAATTAAAATTTTGTTACTAAATTATTAGTTAGCTTTTTGTATACATTGATTACTTATTTGTTAAAAGAGCTCTAGCATCAATCCTTAGACCACTCCTAAATTAATGGTGTTTCACATTCCTAATTTAATGGTCATTCTATTCTAAAGAGTTTGTTTTTCAGAAAGCATTTCAACAGCAAATATATTTTATATTTCCATTCATAAAGAGCAAGTTACTTACTTTGTTACATAAATCTCTTTTTTATAACACCTCTTATTTATTATTCTAAGATTTGAAATTTCTGATTTTTGAAATTGCATTTCTAGTATCTTGAATCATGTGTTTTCCCTGTAGCGATATTGACTGCATGTACATTCTTATTATTGATTGTTGGTTTTGATCAAAATGTTCAAAATACTTAATTTGACTTTTCGAATTGTCAATTAAATGCAGCTTTTAAAAGCCTTTTATTGTAATATAATAATTTTAAAATTATTCAATTATACTGCTGCATAGCTAAATGATAGAATTTTATTCTTTTATTGCTAAAAACAATTTTGATCAGGACATGCAATCAAAGTTTCAAAGAGTTGACTTGAATGATTAGACAAAACATAATTTTGTTTACAAGTTTATTATTCGATTCAAGTTATAAAAATTATTTAACACAATTTCTAAAGGATAACATCAGCTTTAAACAGTTTTGAAGTTTTTAATGTTCAAGTTTTTGAACGTTTTTATTATTTCATTTTAGTTTTATTTCTTTTATGGTTTTTTCCAATAATTTGTATGTTATTCAAGTCAACTACATTTGTTTTTGTCTCGATTAATTGTAAAGGTTTCACATGTTTATCAAGTCATATAAACAATTTTTATTCGATTAATATAATTTCATTTTATCGATTAATTAAATAATTCTTTTGAATAATTTTTTTTTTAAGTCCAAATTTTGACTTAAAAAAAAACCTTTTCGATTAAGACAGACGAGTTAATTTTGCATGCTATATCATCCCAAAGCCAACATTCGAATGAATGAGACCCATATTGAAAATTTAATAGCGAGAAAATTTTATTGGGGCATATTTAAAAATATTAACTAAGACCCAGTAATTTTTTCTGGTTGTGAAAATTTCACAGTGGACTTCATTTCATTCGAGGGTAGGCTTTGGGATTTGGCGTGAGGGAACACTAAAAAACATAAAAAAGTTTCAACGCTGAACCGGAGAGTGAAATCGCTAAATAGGACTTAGGGGAGTTTTTTTTGGTCTCCCTCCCTTCCCTTCTTTCTTCTTCTTCGCTTTTTTTTTCACATTTTTTCGATTTTTTTTTCTTTTTTTGTGTTTTTTTTTTGCATGTTGTGGTTTTTGGGTAGATTTTTGGGTTCGGCATGCATTTTCCTCAATGTGTCTCTCCGCGTGTAATCTTTCGCATCATGGACCCCAGGATGACCATCACTTCGGGTGTTCGTTTCAGGACCCACCGCGCCTGCCAACAGCCAGCCACCAGCACTGCTCCATTTTTTCTGCTCCAAAGTCGGTCGTCGTTGCCTTCAGCTGGACTCGATCCGCTTCATCTTGTGCCTCCAGAGTGATTTCACCGAGTATGCGGCCACTTAAACCGCTCGGCTATTTGAGTTACTGATGATAATAGTTATTTTTATACTCATATACTGTATTAATATTGAATTTGAATAAAGCATATGTCTCATACACATCTCTCTTATTCATCATCTGCCTCTACCCCTCTCTTTCCGCATTTCTTCCACTACCTTCGTCATCTCTCTCTCTTACAGTCAAGTGCGAACCTTGAGTTTTTTATTTTTCAGAAATATTCTAAGTGTCAAGGTCGAAATGCGCCACCTGAATTTAATATTTTGAACTAATATTTGATAATTATGAAAAACTATAGACTTTATTTTTGAGGCCTCTTCGGGATTTGAACCGAGAAACAACGAGCAACCGTAGTGGTAACTTAACGATCTCGGCCAACTGGCTACACAGAAAAGCTATCTATTAGTAAAAATATAAAGTCTTATTTTTAAATGAAAGATAAGTTTCCTAAAAATATGTTGTTTCAAGTGAGCGAATGGCCGAGGTCGTAAAGATACGGTTCTGGCCTGAATAACAATTCGAGGTTCGACTGTTTAAACCCCGTTTGACTGTTTTGAAATCTTTTAAAGCGACTATGCATTAGTTTTGCAAGTATTAATAATAGTAATAAAAATGAAACTTACTTATCTACTATTATTGTACGAAATCCAAAATCCTCAGGAAAGTAGGGCTGATCAGCGTATCGCCTTAAGCTCAATCTCAATATCAATTCTAAACTAATGTTATAAAAAAAACTACAAACTTTCACTTACAAAAATTACAATAATTTAAAATGTGCAGAACAAAACCTTACACTATGTCCTTATGTGTATATGATTTTAGCTCCTGCTTTAACCTATGATAAAAAATAATACATAGTAATAAATATTTAAGAACTGGTTTATTTATAAATCGAATTACATATGCTTTATTTTCTTTTTAAGTGTCATTTGCAATCAAGCATAACAATAAAATGTTAAACATCTAAAGATTATTTTATAGATTTTTATTCCAATACCACATGGTCTATAAAGTTATTTGAAATATGTGACATCATGGAATAAAACTAATAAATTAGTTAAAACTTGAAACATTGAACAAATTTATTAGAAAAAATTAAAATTATTTTGTCATGATAATTCACAATGAACTTAATTTTTTAATATATTTATTTATATATCATTATTTTAATTACATATATATATATATATATATATATATATATATATATATATAAATTTTTATACATTTATCAAATTAAAACAAAAACAAAATTAAGTTGTTTAGAGGTATGATGAGTTAAACTTTGTTATTTATATCAATTCAAATCATTATTTTTGAACGCTTTATAAAATCTTTGTATGTTATTAACTCAAAATGAATTACATCGAAACTACTTAATTTTGTGCTTAGGGTGGATGGTCAAAAGCTTTTTAATATATATATATTATATATATATATATATATATATATATAATGTCGTAGGAACATAAGCAACAAAAGATTGCTTGACGTGCATCATAGTATCACATTTTTCTACTTAATTGACAATCATCAAATGTTCTGGGTACAAAAATCTACTAAAATAAAATTCTGCTTAACCTATTAATAACAAAAAATTGATTTAAATAAATTCACGATATGTACAATTAATATAATTTTCTTCATAATACTAAAAAAAATTTCTTACTCATTTTAACAGGAATACTAAAGATTTATGTCTAATATATAGTAGCAGTACTTGGAGCTGAGGGCTTTGCAAAATGAAAGGCCTATCAAAGTTGATCTCATTTGAACTAGCTTTGCTACTACTAACATACCTCGTGGTACTTAAATAAAATTGAAAGTCATCAATTAACTTACCTAATTAACCTATTACATGATTAATTATAATGAGATGCATTGCATTTAATTTTCCCGCTGTTCAATACAAACAAAGATCCTTTCAAACAGTGCAAGCTTTTCAATATCATTCCTCAGTTGTGCACATCGCTTCAAATGTTGATATAAAATATCTCTGTCTATGTACTCAAGTGGGGTTTGTAGTGGACCACCTAAAATACTAAGAGCTTTGCCTAGTGTTATAAGAAACGTGTTCCATGATTGAGGTAAAGATATGGAGCTAGAAATATTCGAGAATTCATCTCTGTATAATTCTTCAAACCTCAGTAGGAGTAACGATAATATTGAAGTCCCAAACTAAAATATTAATATTATAAGGTACACATGTATAATTATATTTATAAACATTATCAAAATTAGTATGTCAGTACCTTATTGCTAATACAGTATGCCATTCCCTTTTCACCAACATCCAAAAATGAATCAGAAATAGAGAAAAAATGTTCAAGCTCAAAATTGCAAATAAACATTTTGAAATGCTCATAAAACCTTGGCAGAAGATTATCAGTATTTTGATCTTTTCGACCCAATTGTGGTAAATTTCGAATTAGACGACAATAAAAATCTAGCAATTCTGAATGATGTGTTTCACTATCTAAGTGGGGCAGTATTCGAAGTAACAAAATCTGCAAAAAATAAAGTTATGTTAACCCACAAATAATTATTAATTAACAAAAGAAAAATATTTTTCTCAGTTTTTTAGTATGGTTATTATAATTTTTATTAGTATTTTGAAAAAACTACTATCATATTTTGAATAAAATGCAAATTAGGTTTCAAAATGCCAATGGAGTGCAATAATTATCAAATTCATTCATTTAATTTTTGTGGAATCAATTAATTGCTACACCTAGTACTTTACTACATCTACTAACATCATATTACACTGCTATGTATTTTTTATATTGTTCTGGCAAACTTTGCTTAATATTCTTTTTATGTTAACCAAATAACTTACAATAATGAGCAATGAGCATAGCCTGCGTAACATGGCTAGACCAAACGTAAATATTACGCACTACAACATGGCCCGTTATGGTAATCACAATATTCACTTATACAAAACTATGAAACACAATATCATTTTTATTTTTGTGATAAAATATGCACTGTGTGAGAAAATAGTCATAAATGTTGCACCAGCTTGTACAACTGTGGCCTAACATTTTCGAATCAAAATCATAAGTTAGTGGTTAAACTGATTGCATCAACAAAATGTTTAAAACTCCAAAATTTTGATGATTTTTGATAAAAATAGAATAATATTCAGTTAAGTTAATGATTATATTTGTTAATTAAAAAAATAAATACTCAAACATACCTTGCCTTTACGAACATTCAATATACTAATTTTATCTAAAGCTGTTAATAAAATTGTTATTAAATCATTTCTATTTTCAGGCTTTGCAAGCAATGAGCTTGTTTTAACAATATTAGTGCCATCTTGGTCCTTGCTTTTTTGATCTGCAGACATTTGTAATTGCTTTTCTTCTCTTTCCTGAAATATTAAGAATAAATTAATAAAACACAAAAACTAAGAAAATTTGACTGGAAATGTAATATTGTTACATAAAAACATTTTAAAATCATTAAACAAAAAACATAACGTAGCATGCATATGTCCTTTAACATTTTTTTGTATATCAAAAATAAATGATGTTTTCAATTTATAACATCTCACCCGAACAAGTTTAGTAGTTGCTACAGCTAAAGGATTTGATAGATCTTCTAGTTTAAGGAGAGTTCTATATAATGATTCTATCATCATAAGAAGCTGTCGGCATTTCTTCGCTTCACTAGAAATTATGTTGGAAGAATCCTTGTCAGTTGAAACTACTTCCATGTCAATTATTTTTCGAGGAGCTGTTACACTTCCACACTAAAAAAAATTAAAAATACTATGGTTACATTTATGTTTGAAAAATCTAGACCAACGTAATCTTAAAATTCACTTACTGTTAATTTGCCTAATGAATTTTCAAATTGTAAAGGTGTGTATGTTCTTTGTTGTTGTGGATTGTCCTTATCCCTACTTTGGGAATTTCTTCGTTCACGATTTTGATTATTATTGTTACCTAATTTTATAAAACAAAAACTAGTATTATTTTCTTTAAAATGAATAAGTTTATGAATATAATACTGAACATAATGATTACATAATTTGATACATACAACTTATCTTTCAACTCAAATCAGAAATTAATATATAAGTTAGATTAATGCAATTATTTCAAACTTACTATTGTTATAAAATCTACTGGCTTGTTTAGGCTGAATTAAGGGATGATTTAAAGTATTGTCCTTGTGAGCAATTGTTTCACGTTCTCCACTTTGTTTGCTTTGTTTTTCTTTGAACACCTGTTAAAATTATTAGTGTAACAATTTCAGACAGAAAAAAATTTACTTCTAGCTTGCAAAAACCTTACCGTATAATAATAATCATCAATATATGGAGTTCCTGTATTTAACTGCATCATCTGGATATTGATTAACCATTGCTTGTCTCTGGCTGACATTAAATTACTGTATTCGTCTAAGACTTCTCCCCCATTGGTTAAATGAGCATTGAATTGTCCATTATAAAGATATTGCTGATTAGAGTGATTTACACCTTGATTTTTATGCAGATTATTAAAACTTGAATTCTGATTTATCTGATTGTTATATACTCTATTATATTGTTGGTTCCTATAGTTTTGTAACAAAGGATGATTCTGTTGAATCATGTGCATCATATTTTGATTTGTCATATTATGGTTTGTTATCGAGTTGTTGAGTCCAAAATTTTGCTGGTGCATGGGATGTTGATTTGCTGCACAAGATGGAAATGTTTGAGACATATTATGTCTGTTAAACATTGATGGCATCTGTGAATGAAATAAAAATTATGTAAATCTCAGGAAGAAATAGCGAAGAAGCCAGAAATGGTAATAAATGAAAATATTCACACTGAAAGTATATGGTATTACTAACATGAGTTAGAGTGGTTATAAAATGGTTATAAAAAAGTACATAATATTTTAAAAATGTATAAAAGGCTAAAAACGCCAATTCAACAAACAATTGCTATTAATTCATAGTCAAAATTTCAAATTCGCATCTGCAATTTTGCTCGAATGTCGAAATAACAAATAGCTCTTTGGCGGCTCATATTACGAAACACTCGTATGTCAGGGTACCACTATTTATTAATTCCAATCTATAATCTCACTCTTATTCAGAAACAAGTACATAAACTACCATATATTTAGCTATGTTCTATCTAAACTAAAACTAATAAGTAACCAATTGCCAAAAACATAAAAACAAGATAAAGATATTGAAATTAAAAAGTTTTATGAATTAATTTTTATAATATTATAATTGACTTATTATTAATAATATTTACTGTTAATAAGAGTATCTTTCATTAATAATAAGTTAAACATTTCAAAATTTCAGTGATATTCAAATTAATTTTATAATAAGGAGTTTTAATATACAAATGAACTATAGAGATTCTATTCTTTAGTGCAATGCAAAGTGCATTATTATACTGTACATGATTCTACTTTAAAATGAAAGCATTCATAAGTAATAGAAAAAAAATGATATACCAATTTGTAAATATTCCAAAAAACAATATATTGAGAACCAGAACATGTGTAATATAAGGTATCTCCTCATCCTATTATATAATTATAATATATCTCTATCTTTTCCTATCATATAATCATGTAATTATAATAATAATTGAAACTAAATAAATTAATTTTCTTAAGCCATACTTACGTTTACGTTAGTATTGTATAAAAGATTTGACGGATGAGTCTGATTGAATTGAGGATGGACATTTGTACTTTGTAACATTCGAATTTGATGTGGAGGAACATTGTGTGGTACATGAGCAGGGCTTCTAAGCAAACCTGGTGGACACCGCTGGTTCTGCAAATTGAATTTTAAAATATTATTCATAATATTATTGGTAATAGCATTAAATATATATTAATATATATATATATATATATATATATATATGTTTAATTTGAGTTTAATATTCGGGCGTAACATCAATAAAAATAGTATGAGTTTTTTTTTTTTTTATTAAATTTATTTATTTAAAATCCATACGTTTCGGCTAGCATCTTAGCCATCATTCAGTGGTAATCAAGTTAACTATAAAAATTGAAACTAAATAAATTATATGAAAGGAAATTTTGTGGAAAAACAATAATAATAATAATGGTAATAAAACACTTACAATTTTGTATCCTAATATAGCATATGAAACCATTATTAATCCATGGTATGAGTATGTGCACATTGATAAGATATATATTTTTTAACACAAACATCACAAATGGTAAAACACACTAATAATCATGATAACTTAACAAGTTGTCGAAACTATGTATTTACTCTTTGGAGTTTAGGATAGAAATGCCACATTTTTCTCAAAGCAGTTTTTAGCATGTGTTGATATTTTTTGGAAAATTTAAAAGGCGATGGGATTTTGTTATTTTTTAAGGAATTTTGACACGCTATTAAGAAACCACGTGTTCGTTTCGATAAGGGCCGTATTGTCATTGCGTTTATTTATGACTCTGTCGTTATGTAATTGTAAAAACAACCCCTCAGCGAATCTTCTTTTAATTGTATTCTCTTCAAAATGTAAAATTTTAGGGTTAAAAAAATCGATATTATGATTTAAATTTTTAATATGCTCAGTTAACATTGTTTTAAATTGCTTAGGATTTTTGAATTATTTTTGTGTTGATTAAGGCGTTTACTCAGGTTTTGGCTAGTTTCTCCAATATAAAAGAGTTCGCAATTAGAGCAATTAATTTGATATACTAAATTCCTGAGGCGGTCAAAATTGAACTTAGATTTCATTTGTGTAAAAATTGAACTAAGGGTTGCATCACAATTACATACCAACAGAATGCCACATTGTTGAAATAGTTTTTTCCACGAGAAATATAAATCTTTTACGTACGGTAGGCAAATGACACCAGTATATGATTCTAAGTCTAAGCGGTTTTTATGATCTGTGAGGTCTTTTTGTTTGTTAAAAATGTAACTGCGTCTGTTATTTATGACCGAGTTGATTATGTTCGTAGGATATGAGTTGTTTTTCAGTGTGTTTATAACCAGGTCAATGTTCGTGTCCCAGAAGTTTTTGTCAGATAGTAATATGGCGTGGTCTGTTAAATTTATTATTGTCGCAATTTTCATTTTAAGAGGGTGGTATGAGTGGTAATTTATGTATCGTCCGGAGCTAGTTGGTTTCTGGTACCAGTTAGTAATTAGTCGGTGGTCATTTGTACGTATTAGTCTGATGTCTAGAAAACTAATCGAATTCACTGTCTCTAATTCTACGGTAAACTGTAGTTTTTTATTAAAATTGTTAAAATTATCAGTAAATATGTTAATGTCTTCTTCCGGAATACAAGTAATGATATCGTCTACATATCGGTAATAAAAGATTTGTTTGTTATAATTATTAAAAATTTTGTTTTCTACTAATTGTAAGGAAATTTCTACTAAAGACGGAGATGCGGGAGATCCCATTGGGGTGCCAAAAATTTGGTAATAAAATGATCCATTAAATTCAAAATAGGTGTTAGAGACAATGAATTTGATGATTTCTCTAAACCAATGTAAAGATAATGTGGTGTGAAGGCTAATTTCACTCCATCTGCTGGTGATGGCGTCTAGTATTAAGTCAAGTGGGACATTTGTCCCACTAGACTTAATACTAGACGCCATCACCAGCAGATGGAGTGAAATGAGCCTTCACACCACATTATCTTTACATTGGTTTAGAGAAATCATCAAATTCATTGTCTCTAACACCTATTTTGAATTTAATGGATCATTTTATTACCAAATTTTTGGCACCCCAATGGGATCTCCCGCATCTCCGTCTTTAGTAGAAATTTCCTTACAATTAGTAGAAAACAAAATTTTTAATAATTATAACAAACAAATCTTTTATTACCGATATGTAGACGATATCATTACTTGTATTCCGGAAGAAGACATTAACATATTTACTGATAATTTTAACAATTTTAATAAAAAACTACAGTTTACCGTAGAATTAGAGACAGTGAATTCGATTAGTTTTCTAGACATCAGACTAATACGTACAAATGACCACCGACTAATTACTAACTGGTACCAGAAACCAACTAGCTCCGGACGATACATAAATTACCACTCATACCACCCTCTTAAAATGAAAATTGCGACAATAATAAATTTAACAGACCACGCCATATTACTATCTGACAAAAACTTCTGGGACACGAACATTGACCTGGTTATAAACACACTGAAAAACAACTCATATCCTACGAACATAATCAACTCGGTCATAAATAACAGACGCAGTTACATTTTTAACAAACAAAAAGACCTCACAGATCATAAAAACCGCTTAGACTTAGAATCATATACTGGTGTCATTTGCCTACCGTACGTAAAAGATTTATATTTCTCGTGGAAAAAACTATTTCAACAATGTGGCATTCTGTTGGTATGTAATTGTGATGCAACCCTTAGTTCAATTTTTACACAAATGAAATCTAAGTTCAATTTTGACCGCCTCAGGAATTTAGTATATCAAATTAATTGCTCTAATTGCGAACTCTTTTATATTGGAGAAACTAGCCAAAACCTGAGTAAACGCCTTAATCAACACAAAAATAATTCAAAAAATCCTAAGCAATTTAAAACAATGTTAACTGAGCATATTAAAAATTTAAATCATAATATCGATTTTTTTAACCCTAAAATTTTACATTTTGAAGAGAATACAATTAAAAGAAGATTCGCTGAGGGGTTGTTTTTACAATTACATAACGACAGAGTCATAAATAAACGCAATGACAATACGGCCCTTATCGAAACGAACACGTGGTTTCTTAATAGCGTGTCAAAATTCCTTAAAAAATAACAAAATCCCATCGCCTTTTAAATTTTCCAAAAAATATCAACACATGCTAAAAACTGCTTTGAGAAAAATGTGGCATTTCTATCCTAAACTCCAAAGAGTAAATACATAGTTTCGACAACTTGTTAAGTTATCATGATTATTAGTGTGTTTTACCATTTGTGATGTTTGTGTTAAAAAATATATATCTTATCAATGTGCACATACTCATACCATGGATTAATAATGGTTTCATATGCTATATTAGGATACAAAATTGTAAGTGTTTATTACCATTATTATTATTATTGTTTTCCACAAAATTTCCTTTCATATAATTTATTTAGTTTCAATTTTTATAGTTAACTTGATTACCACTGAATGATGGCTAAGATGCTAGCCGAAACGTATGGATTTTAAATAAATAAATTTAAAAAAAAAAAAAAAAAACTCATACTATTGAGGGACGCCCGAATTTAAACTCAAATTAAACATATATATCAACATCAAATTCAAGAATATTCAAAATATATATATATATATACATATACATATATACATATATATATATATATACATATATATATATAATGCAATTGCTTATACTGGAAAATTACATTATTTAACAACACATTGTAATAAAAATAATAATTGTATTGACTTAAATTGTAAATATTGAATTTGAATAAAGTATCTATCTATCTATGTATCATTAATAAGATGTTAAGCTAGATAACATTGATATCACTAATGTAAAAAATGTATTAAAAATCGAAATGATTTAAAAATATTATCAATTAAAAAAGAAAACTTCACAATATATCAATGGTTTGTGAGATCTCATAATTATTATTTATTTCGTTAATATTTTATTCAATAAAAAAAAATATTTGCTTGAGAAATAATTTATTAAATCTAATAAAAAGTGATTGATCAGCCAAGATTTGATAATAGTAATAAATAACTGAAATCAATTTACCTGAATAGGTGGAAAAGGTCCAGGCAGTGTTTGTGAAGGTAAAATATTGTGTAAAATTCCATTTTGATGAGATAATGTTTGATTTTGAATAATAGTTGGCCTTAATAAGCTCCGTTCGATTTCTTCAACAGTACACAAGGTCCTGGGTATCTGATTCTGCAACAGAAAATGTATACATAAGAAAAACTTTACTTGCATATAATTTTTAACATTGGATTGAACACTAAATTGCACATGTAATTATCAAGTGAAAAGTAGCAAAATAAAATAGTTTATAACACACAGAAGAAAGATGTTATTTTGATTCAATAACAATAAATTCAACAGTGTATCATATTGTGTATGATTTACTGTTGCTTATTAAAATAAAATTATAAGAATTTCACATTCACGAGATGATGATTTTGAATTACCTGTGTAATAGGTTTTTCTGGACTAGCCCAAACTTTAGGATCTAAATCTACACTTGTATCATCTGTTTCTGATGAAGCAGGAATTACACAGTCATCCAGTACCAAATTTGACAACGAAGCCTCTGTTAAAATATCAAATTATAATTTCCATAACAAAATACTTATTTAGCACGATACAAGTAAATCACAAATGCTAACCCAAATCTAGATCATCATCTTTAGATTTTTTATTGGATTCAGTAATTTTTGCAAAAGTTTCATGTTGATCTTCCCAATCACATTGTGAAGCTTCTAATCCAAAAGTTTCCTCATTTAACAGGTCATACTCGTCATCAGATAAACAGGATCCTTCGTCCATAGCCTAAAACATATACGTATCACATGTTTCATTATCTTATAATTTGCAGCGTAGTTTTTTGCTGAATAAATAAACAACCGATTATGAATTAGAATATTAAGGTGAACTAATGTAGATATCAAACTGCTAGAAAAGTGCTAAAAGCCCGGTAAATAGATTGTAAACATTACATAATAAAAAAAATTAGCATTGTAGTAGGACACTTATTGCATACCGATAATGTCGTATTAAATCCAAAAAATGAACCTGCCATAATAAAATTTTACTTATTTTTCCTGTAAATGTCATGACTTGTCAGACATATGTTACAATGGCGGACATTTTCAAAAAAAAAAATCTAACACGAAAGTGAATGACAATTCAGTTTAGGTAACTTAGATAACTAGAAAACATAAAGTGGGGATTTCACTCATTGACAGTGCATAAGTTTTAAGATTAAGGTCACTACCTGAAAAAAGCGTGAAAATGCTTCAAAAATTTATTTTTTAAGTTTTTAGGCTCAGATAAATCCAAAAGTTTTTATCCAGTTGGATTTTATTTTAATAATAAATTTATGTAATCTTCAAACCACATTTTAGTTTTTCCTCATCTCGCTTGGAGAGTAACGATCGATTTGCTTGATATTTGGGTTATTTTGACTCGCGTTAAGTTCGTGCGCATGCCAAAGTTTCAGCCATAGATAAAAAAGAGTAAGTTTCAGCCATAGATAAAAGAAGAGTAAAATAGAACAAAGAAGAGTGGCTTCAGCATGGTTTCAGCGCTTCAGTAACTAAATGTTCGAATTCAATAATTAATTGAATAGTAATAATATTAATAATCTTATCATATTAATGATGTTATGAGAGTAAGATCCAGATATTTTAAAAATGCTAATAAATATTTTGTCAAAAAAATTAAACTAAAATCCATTGATAAATTTGAATTTATGTACTTAAATTGAGTGGATATTATTTAAAAAAAAATTTTTTTAATAATCTTTTTGACTAATGTTTTACAACAAAATGATATTCATAAACGAAAACACACTTGCCTTTGTATTTTTAGATACAGAAATTTACGCATTTAAATGGATTTTCTTGACTTGAATTATGATTTCAAATTTTACCTTCAATCATGCGATCATGCGATTTAAAAATATTTCATCAATAAGAACTGATTTTTATAGCTATTTAAAATTGCGACAAAAGTTTGTTGTTATATTTAATAACAACAAAATGACTTGACTGATATTTATCAAAAATCAATGAACTCAAAAAATCATTGAATCGAAATTTATTGCAGGAAAAATTCAAAAAGCGCTTATCGTCTTCCAATTTTGCAGTGAATTTTTTAATTTTTTTAGGTATATTTTTTCAAATCACTGCAAGATGAACACAGGGTATTCTAATATTGTCTAGGTGAAAAGATATGAAAACAAGTCCCAGTTTTAAAATTAGCAATGTTAGTTATATTTGTTTTCAAAATCACAAGGTTATAAATAGAAAATACTCAGACAGAAAATTTCACAGAAAGGAAAGCTTGAAAAGTTAGTGCACATCTGATAAACAAACTAAATGATTTGAAAAAACTCGAAAAACAAAGACTGAGTAACATGAAGTTAATTGCAATAAATCCAATTTGTAAAATATCAGAAAAAATAAATAGTAAAATAAAATTTCTATTTGAAATAATTTTATTTGAATAATTTTCATATATTTCATATGTACACGTATTATTATTTACTACATTTAATTTGTATTCCTATCAACATAATTATATATCCACTTATATTTATAATTGTACGTATAAAATATTCTGATTTGGAATTAACGATCAATATTTACAATTCTAATAAGATTTTTATATTTATATCTATAATTTAATTAGTAATAATATACATATATATGCATTAAATTAAAATTATAAATTATCTATTCAAATAAATAAATATTAAACACTACATTGAATAGATGCAAATACGTTTGTCGAAAATCATTTCACGGGCTCATTGTAAAATGACACGCAATCGTAATTATTTTATTTTGAGATGGATATAAATACATATGAGAAAAAGGTCTACTTTTTAAATGTTACATACATTTTTTTCCAAGTGAAGTAAAATATAATATTTTCTGCATATAGAAATAGCCATGCTTTAAGGATAACTCATATAACAATAGTAAAAAAAATATCATAAGACCTCATAATAATATCAATAAAAAAAATAAATAATACATAATATATTGGAATATTTTGATGTACATAATTAGTGGAATATTTTGTTGTATGGCTTGCTTTACATCATTTTACCAATATATTCCTAATTCATTAGGTAATTTATAATTTGAGTCTTAAATTATTATTATTTATATAATTATTAAAATAACAAAATATTTTTTATGAGAACCTTTTTCATAGTTGCACGAATCTAAAGTCATTTAAATTTATTTTTCAACATTTTTAAAATAATATTAAAACCGCAATCCTGATATGTTTTATCTTATTTAGTTTTTAAGGTACCAATACTTAAAATAATTTGAAATGAGTAAATTTTATCATGTAATTTTCATATCGAATCATATTTATGATGAGTAGTATTTAGGTTAGTATTGAATTTATAAAACTTGATAATAATTTTTTTTCGCATAAAACCATTTAAAACCATTTTGTCTAATTCGAAATTAAAATAGTACTTAAAAAATGAATTTCTCAAATCATAAACATATATTGAAATATGTTTATTTACATAAATTTTCATTTTGATGTTTGTGCAGACTTAAGTTGCTAATGATTGATATGAGTTATATATAACTATATATTTTCAACATATTGTTATAAAATAGAGTATATCAAAATTACGATTAATAAATGTTTGATATTGCTATTAATAATGCTATCGTGACAAATAGATGTTAAAAAAGTATTCTATTTTATTGGCACATTATTATTACAGTGAATATAATGGAAATGGTAAGTAATGAATATCAATTAATTTATCCTATCTACATCAGTTAAAGAAAATTATAATTACTATCTATTTTTATTAATACATTTAATAAATATTTTTAGTATACAAATGTAGTTTTTATAGTAACTATATATATATTTAAATCACATGTCAAGTTCTTGATAGCAATATCTTAACGTATTATAAAAAATAATAAAATATCTATTTTACGTAATATGAAGAATAATTTATAAACATACTAGAGTACAGATACATGATTATAGAAACGATTTTCCAAATTTTTGTCATGAAACGGGAAATATGAGCCATTTATGATCATATATATACATACATATATATATATATATATATATATATATATATAAATATATGAGTTGTGCGCTGAATGGTTTTGTTATGATTCTATTAAATTTTCACATTTCGAATCAGCATATTTTGCATGGGACACAATAGTCATCAACAATTTGTTTTTTGCTTTTAGCTTTTGATTGAAAATAATAATTGTAAGCAAATTTTAAAATAATTAATTTACTAATAATATGAGTAAGTTAATTAAAAGCTTGAAAAATATTTTATACTACTTCGACGCTTCATTGATATCTAAAATTATAGTATTATTAAATTTTCATTTGCGTTCATTGACTGAAACCTTTACAGAAAAGATTACATACATACAATTTACATATATAATAATTTTTTTTAAATGAAATTATAATTTACAATTAAAATGCTATAACCTTTTGTAAATCAACTAATATCCGAATTGATGAATGGATGAATTGGAGTTTGGAAATTGGATTTGGACATTGTAATGGGATTTTTTGAGCAAACCGATAATGTTGTGTTAGTTATAATTCTACTTAATCAAAAAATACATGGCAAAAAAAATATAAAAGAAAAATAAGGAACACCTTTAGTATTTCTCCATCTAGATTCTAGATTCTCTCTTATTTTATTCTTATGTTGTAAATATTAAATAAATTAAAGAATTGAATTAGCACCATGTTATTAAATTAAATTAATCACTGCGATTAATAATACACACACACGTTGAGAACATTTAGAATCATAATTAATAATAGCTATCCAATATATATATATTACTATATATATATATATATATATATATATATATATATATATAATATATATTAGATAGCCATTATTAATTATGATTCTAAATGTTCTTAACTAAGGGCCTCCTTATTTATTTCAAAATTTCAATAAGTACATTTTTTTAAAAGAAAAATGCAGACTTGTAGATCAAAGAAATAAAAAATTATATATATATATATATATATATATATATATGTCTTTGAATATTTATAGATGTGTAAATAAAATTTAAATTTTTCAAATTATATCTCAAAAATAAAATTTATTTCATAATTGCGTTTTTTCCAGAAAAGTCGATAAATTTCATATCTAAATATTTTTATCCGATTATTTTATACAATTAATGAACAAAATTTAATATTTTAAAAATTTAATTAAATTGGAACCTTTATTGATTTTCAATGGAAAGTAATATGTGTTGCACAATGTTTAATTACTAAGAGGATGATATGGGAATTTAACTCAATTAAATCATTGTTTAACACAAACAACTATAATCAATACAGGCGGATCATTCGCAATTATCTTCAATTCTCCTGCTAATCTCATGAGAAGCTATTTACTATTCATGTAGATTGTTGTTTGATTAACCGCCTCAATTCGGGCCATTGGCAAATAACACACACATATGTATATATATATATATATATATATATATACATATACATATATAAAAATTTACTAAATCTGAAATAAATTTTACAAATCAACTATTATTAATTTTATAGTTGTCACTAATTGGAATTATATTTGATGATACAAAACATACTGCTAAATTAAGTATTAGGTTGGCAACTAACTAAGTGCGATTGTCACTCTTTGATGGTTTTAATTGAATTTTTTGAATTGCTAACGCAGTTCAAATGAAAAATACCTTTTATTATTGGACAGCAGGCAATTTAGCTGCCAATCAGTAAAAAAGTTGAAAAACTATTTTAAGCGATTGTTTTTTCTATTTGCAAAGGTAAAAAGCCATTTAAAATTCACAAAAAGTGATAAGCTTTTTATGGTGACTAAGCCTTAAATAAAACGACAGGATCAAAATTGTGTAGTCTAGATTAGTTCTGCTGATTTTACACTTAAAGATGAAAAACTTGTTGTCCAATTGAAGTTGTCCATAAAGAAATTATCTACTTTAACTTTGCCCACCCAACCGAACAATCAATTCTGAGGTCTATATAGAACAATTAACAATATTGATCATCTGCCGAATTGCTATTCTACTA